CTTGAAGACGCACTGCGACACCAGTTTCCGACGCTCAAGAATGTATCTGCGGCAACTATATGTAGAGCACTCATGCATGACTTAGGTTTGACGCGAAAAGGTATTAAAGTTTCGAATATATTTTCAATATTTATTCGTGTGTTATTAGTCTTAGAACGACGAGCGCGAGAGTCTGCCGATTTTGAGCTGCGCGATTACTATCGGCGATTAAGCCCTTACTACTCGTACCCCGACCAGCTTGTTTTTGTCGACGAGACTTCTAACTTCTAAAGACGGACGTGATTCGATTCGCAAGTACGCTTGGTCGAAGCGCAACAAAAAGGCGATTGTAGAATTACCATTCTCTCGCGGCCAGCGGGTGTCAGCACTAGCGGCATTTACAACGTCCGGATTTTTAGCGTGGGATTATGTGGACGGTATAATATTTTTGTCGTTCCATGGCTTAATTTATATTTATTAGATTTTTTTAGGAACATTTGATCGTGCTACGTTTCACGACGTCATGGTCAAAAAGATTCTGCCGTATTTGAATCCTTGGCCGCTGCCGTGTTCAATTTTGATTTTAGACAACGCAAAGATCCACATGTACAAGGAGCTGCAAGAAGCAGTTCATCGCCGAGGTGCACTGCTATTTTTTTTGCCGCCATATTCTCCCCAGCTAAACCCTATTGAGGTGGGATTTAGTCTGCTAAAGCGCTGGATTGACAAGTATCCCATGGCATTTCGCTTGAATGTCCGTGCTGTATTAGATGTGGCGTTTGTAGAGTGCACCAAAAAAAATGAGCGGATAGGATACAATTTGTATCACCATTGCGGTTATGATACTACAGCGTTAGACCAAGAAACATTTTTAATGTAAATTCGTTAGAAACCATTGGAATTATTTATGCAAATTGTTTGATATTACTACAAATTAATGTGATCAATATCCTCAATATTCACGCTTGGTCCGACTACTCCCCCCACTATTGGTTCCCGAAAGGATGGCGTCAGGTCGAATGGAGGAATTCCTAGAATGCTGCGGAGATCTTCAACGGACAGAAAACAATCCACTGGGGCACTGGCCATCGTGCCAAACCGAACTCGAACCCTACGGTACGTTTCCGTGGTCTGGGCATTGATTTCGCGCCGGCGTTCGTCGGCATGACGCGAAGACATAAGGTCAATATGACCAAGTTGCCGCATTGTAGCATTTGAGGGAATTTCAACGGAGGCGGACGGCGGCAATCTTGCCGTCACAACGGTTGCATAGTCGGTTTGGAGAGGGTCAAGAAGAAGGCTCTGGTCTTTAATGTATTCCGCAACGCGTGTCGCCGCAGTCACGAGGTTGTTAGCAGTCGCTCGTCTAATCGCGGTGCTGGTATCCTTTTCTACGTCGTATTTCGTAATTTACACTAATTTAATACTAGTGACACAATTTTGACAAATTCATATATATCGATAGTTTTACCGACGTAAATGAACAGCAGCAATGTGAACGATGCTTGGGCATTGCGGACGTTGCTTGCATTGTCCCAAATTTGGCGTACCACATCGTTGTAGTTTAGCAGTGTGAGTTTGACGTACTTGTCTTGCGTTGTGTTGGCCGCAACCTTTACATAAACTTCCTTTGGACCTTCCGGGTCCCACAGAAGCCTCGCGTTCGACGCGTCAGCATGGTAGTCGGCGATGGTAGTCGAGACGGTGTTTACAACCAGGGCAGAAACAA